TTGAAATTTAGCTGTGTATACCAAATTTCATTCATTTATCACAACGCGATTGAGAGATATTACAAAAAAATGATTTCCATTCCTCCCTCTTCAATGGGTCCCTGTGCCCTTAGGAAGCATTTCCGGACCCATGTTCATATGAACTTTTTTACTTAGTTTTGATCATAGAATCGGCCTGTTCAGGGTTGGTAGCTAATTATGAGACACCCTGTACTATGTCTTAGTCACTCTTTATAATTTCGACTGCGGAGTATAGAAGAAAGATTTAACAGTGGGTATCAGAATAAATTATAAAATATATTACAATGGGGAAATAATTTATTATTCAAATATGGGCCTTTAAAAAGATAGATTTGGGTAATTTTAATTTAACCAAAATCAGCTTCTAAATTTTCAATGTTTTAACCCTTTCACTGCTCCAGACCAGTGTTGCCAGATGGGAGGACATTACACCTTTTAGGGAGTTTTTTCACATAAAAGCAGTAAAAGGGTTTTTTGTGTAGAATAGAGGACATTTTATCATCCCAATGATTTACATTATCATTACATGATCAGTGATCAGTAAAACGTCCTTTAATTCGTTCTGGTGACCAGCTATTTATTATGAAATTAACTTTAATCATTGAGGCCAATTTCTAGCCATGGAACTGAAAGTGTAGTGCAAGGAGCAAATTCTACCTGCCTTTATTAAGGCTACCTGGAAAGAATCCCTTTCTTTCCTTTTAATCACCGACCTAATCCCCGGCTTAAGCATAGACGCCGTCGGCATCTTTGTTACAGCACCTGTGCCGGGGTTATGCCCAGGTAAGTTTTTACTTATTTATCAGTTATTTGCATTACTTTAGAATACATTTCTTTAAAATTGCGNAATCCAAAGGATCTTCCGCTGCTTTATCGTCAGATATCGCTTCCAACGGGTCGTTTTTGTCCAAACTCTCCACTGTGCCCTTTAGCTGTGCGACATCGACGATCTTTACCGTACTAGACGTCTTCTCGGCGATGCTGTGTATGTTCATTATGACTGGCTGTGCGACCAGACTAATTTTCTTAAACGGAGACGGTCCGTCTTCCTTGGCTTTGTCGTTTAAGTTTACCAGGGGGCTGTCGTAATTCCCGATGATTTCCTCATCGTGCGACGGCATTTCCGACACTTCCGAGAAGCTTATAACGTTATCTTCTATCTCGATGACGTCGTCTTCCATATCCAACGGCTCCGATTTGATTTCTTCCAGTTGGAACAAGGGATCCGGTTGCTGGGTGTGCGGTTCTCTCACTATGGTGGATTCGGAGACACGTTCGTAATGGGTGTGGTAGTATTTTGGAATCTTTACGTTGGGCCTGGATCTGGTACCTTTCCTCGAGAGGAAAAGTGGAGGGGGCGACTACCGAAAAACGTGAGGTGTTACAACTGATATGTACAGAGATTTCCGCATAAGATACGACACAGAGAGGTAATTGTATTCGATTACGAGTCTCGGAACTTCAAAAAGCATTATAGTCCAAGCATTCTGTCACGGATTAATGTTAAATTTGCAGAAATTATTACCTGGACAAAAAAAATATGACCGTATACAAAATTAAATTTTAAATTGAGTTTCTTGTTCTTTAAACTCGATCCAAAATTGCTAACATCGTTTAAAAAAATCGCAAAGTTGCAAAAAACGGTTTTTCTAAAATAACTAAAAAAATATAGCTCCTATCGAAAAATTTTAAATGAGAAAGTTGTAGGTTTTAACCCTTTCACTGCTCCAGACGTATATATTCGCTAAAAATTTATAGGGCTCAAACTGCTCCAGACGGATTACTTCACATGAATAGTTAAACTGGATCAGGCTGCTCAAACCGTATATATTCGCAACTATGCGCATCAGTGACTCGGTTATTGCAATTGGTAAGGCGAATTTTTGCAGGCGAGCTTATACCCATTGTGACAAATATTTTTATGGAAAGAGGTACTGGTAATAATACCAAGATTGTTCATGTTTCTTTCAGTTTCTATTTGGTACATATACTGTATTTTATTCAAAATAAAATCGTAAAATTTATCGTAAATCGTAATTTAACACAACATAATCTAAAACTATAAGTGGTCTAACTGCTGCAGACGTATATATTCGCACGCGATAAACTTTCGCGCACGGCGCGGTAGCTACTTTCAGACGTATTGCGCAGCAAAAGGGTTAACAAAATTTTGTCGTTTAATATTTTAATCATAACCTAAAACATTTGTAAATCATTTAACTATAATTATGTTCAATATACCCACTCCCAAAGATGAAAACAAAAAATGAAAAAATATTAGAAAAGTACAAATTTAAAATAATGAAATATTTTGCATATAGAGAATTGTCAGTAAAATATTAGTACGACGATGAAAACTTCTAATTGGACTACCTATTTGTATGAATTAGCCAGTTTAATATTTTTAGGGACAATATAATACATTTTTGTAAACTAACTTGTTAATTCTACAGCATTTGAATCAAATTTTGAATCAATTATATAAGAATTATCTGTGAATAGTCTGTCAGACCTCAGGAGCATTGCTTAGCCAGAGAAATGGTAGGTATAAAATTCTAAAAATAGTTCACTTCTATTTACCTATCGATTTATTAACAACTAATAAATAATTAGAATAATCACAATTTCAGGATTTCCATTTAACTTCAGCTGAAGAATTTTTTTCTCTTCCTATGAGCTTTGAGAATTGGTATAAAATTCAGACACTCCGACTAAAAACCAGAGGTATATGTCGACCCTACAGTGAAGGTATGTTTCATATATATTTATTTCAACATTGATTTTTAGATAACAGAAAGTGATATCTAACATTGTATTAAGACTATATTAGTACTCACATCTAATTGATGTGCCATTGTGTACATTTTCCCACATCCTTCGTATAAACAAACATAAGATTTTTCTTTCTTTAAAGCTGGCTGTGTAGAGGGTGGATCACAATATACCATTTCAAACATTTGCTGAGAAGAATTATCAAGTACTTGTACTATCTCATACTTCTCATCTACGCAACTTTCATTATCTGCATTTAAATTTCCCAAGAGCCCTTCTTCTTCAACGTCCTCTTCTTGTTCATTAGTACTGTTTGTTATTAAATGTGGGTCTCTCGACTCAAAATTTGCATCTTAAAAATATGTAAGTATATAAATTTTTTAATTCATTTTAACACATTCTTTGTTACCTTTAGTTATCGTAGTCATAAATACTCTACCATCATCAAGGGTAATTATCTGAACATTGGAATTGGGAGAAAAAGACGGGATGAAATCACCTTCATGACTATTGTTATCGCATGTTTCCAATGTAGTTGGTTCTTTAATATCACACACATCATCAACTGTAAAATATACAACCTGATTGCTACTATCTTCTTTTTCATCATTATTTTCATTAGATGGATCATTTATAATTGTATAATACTGAAAAACTTGTTCACTGTTGACGTCTTCTGCAATTGCAATTTATTAATTTAGTAATTGTATCAATCATGGAACATAATTAAAACATGTATAGAGAATATAATTCATATAATTAACCAAACTTTTTAAAATAAAAAATCATGTTTATAAAATAAAACAATAAATATAAAGACGGGAAATTACCCATAATGAACTAAAAAGAAGTGCCTCTATCAATAAAATAACCTTGAACCATTGAATTTAGAATAGGAAGAGAATGTAGAAGTGGACCGCGCCATTATTCTATGGCTAGAAATTGGCCTCAATGATTTG